AAAGCTCAGGCTTTCTATCCTGGGCTGGAGGGGGGGGGAGAGAAACGAGGAAACTGACGGGGACGAAAGGGGCTCTTTTTCCCTCTTCCCCCCCCTCTGCCGCCCAGGATAGAAAGGAGGCTCGATCCTTCCTTGCCCCATTGAAAGCTCAGGCTTTCTATCCCTGGGCTGGAGGGGGGGGAGAGAAACGAGGAAACTGACGGGGACGAAAGGGGCTCTTTTTCCCTCCTCCCCCCCCTCTGCCGCCCAGGATAGAAAGGAGGCTCGATCCTTCCTTGCCCCATTGAAAGCTCAGGCTTTCTATCCTGGGGTGGAGGGGGGGGGAGAGAAACGAGGAAACTGACGGGGACGAAAGGGGCTCTTTTTCCCTCTTCCCCCCCCTCTGCCGCCCAGGATAGAAAGGAGGCTCGATCCTTCCTTGCCCCATTGAAAGCTCAGGCTTTCTATCCTGGGGTGGAGGGGGGGGGAGAGAAACGAGGAAACTGACGGGGACGAAAGGGGCTCTTTTTCCCTCTTCCCCCCCCTCTGCCGCCCAGGATAGAAAGGAGGCTGGATCGTTGCCCCATTGAAAGCACAGGTTTTCTATCCTGGGCTGGAGGAGTGGGGGGGAGAGAAACGAAGAAACTGACGGGGAAGAAAAGGAGACAAACCCGGTGCTCACTGTCTTCTCTCTCCACAATGGCGCGCAACAGAACTTTCGTTTTAACCACTCTGGAATTCAAATATATGACACGCCCTCCCGCGCATGCGTGGGGGGGGGAAACAATCTGTCTCCACGGCCCACTTCAAAGAGCTCCACGGACCGGCACCGGGCCGCGGACCGGGGGTTGGGGAACAGGGCTGTACACGACACAGCAAGAACAGACAAGTGTCTGAGAGAGTACCCCTGTCAGGATCATCTGAAGAATACCTCGCTTCTCATGAAAACAGAGCTCCTGTCATTATACAAACACATCAACGTGTTTACTTATTTACTTTCTTAAAAACCTCCTGCCCTAATGTTGACAGTGACATCTCACCTGCTTTGAAAATCCTGCCAGGGTTGCCATAAGTTGGAAGCAAGTTAGTGGCACATAACATGCCCTAACTTATTTACAGCTTACAACCTGCTATAATGTGTACATCTTCACCTCCCTATGTGTACCTTTAAAACTTGTTATATCCTCAATAAGATTAGTGGTGGCGAAAAGGAGCAGCCATCTCAGATTTTGAGTAATCTGCCAGCTGTGTATCTCATGAATCCTGGCTGGTCTCTGTTGCAGGGCTCAGTCAGATGAACATTTGTCCCATTGTTTAGTCTACTGTAAAGATGATTGGGTTTGCTCTTTTTTCTAGAATTCGCTTGACATAATCACTAGAGTGAATCAAACTGTCCCCACAGCAATCCTATCCACAGCTTTTTAAGCCTCTGCCAGGGGATTCCATTTTTTGGGTATGCGTAGGAATGCTCTGGATAGGTCAGCTTCCAGTGTGCGTGATCTCTGGGAACAGACTTAAAAGCAAGACTTTCCAGCCTTCAATACTCCTTCCATTTTTGAATGTCTGATATTGTGGAGTGGCTTGATAAGTGAACCATTTCAGGATATTGGCAAGTTCAAAATGGAAAGAGGCAGAAAAAATAAGGTCACTAGAGCTCTGACATGTCATTTTGATGCATGGTTCACACCCAATGGCATATTGCCCCTCCATCCAACCCCAAGCAACCCTATTCAGTCTGTAACAGCTCATCCCAAAAGAGCCAGTTGTAGATATGTCCTGCATATGCCACATAATAATCTTCTTGGGCCTCCAGAACTAAAATGATTTTAAAAAGTTAAATATACATTTTAAAAGGTAAAAGAACAGTTCTCTTAAAATCCTTTCCACAGCAATGATGTACATATTTAAAACCTGCCTGAAAAATGAAGATCTTTGCAGCCTGATCTCCTATGGAAGGGAATTCTGCAGCCCAGGAAGAACCCTGGGCTGCAGAAAAGGCCCTGTCTTGTGTCTGCACCAAGCATACCTATGGAGGCAGTGAGACCAACAGAAAGGCCTCCCTCAGAGAACTTAGAGAACTCCATACCAAGTCCTGGGGAGGTATGGAGAGGTAGTACTTCAAATAGCCTGGACCCATGTCTTTTAGGTTTTATTGGACAACCAACATTATGAATTTGGCCCAGCCAGTGAAACTGTTGTAATATGGTATTTCTATTTTCCCTGTAACCAGCTCTGGTCAGAAGTCTGCCTGCAGCATCTTGAATCTGCTGAAATTTCTGAACACTTTCCAGAAGGTAGCCCCATGTAGAGCAAATTACAGTAATCCAAATGGAATTTAACTGGATTGGAATTCAAGATAGCTGGATCAGAATTCTCAAGGAGCAGGCATAGCTGGTACACTAATTTTAACTGTGCATATGTACTCCTGGCCACTGCAGAGATGTATACATGCTGATTCAGGAGTGCAACCAAGAAGCAAACCTGAGTTTTCAGGGAGAGTGCAACTGTGTCCAGCACAGAATGAATCCCGTTTTTTCATCTGGTTTAGGAGTGGCATACTTTCCCTGCTACCACGTAGGAAGGAAAAATAGAGTTGGGTGTCATCAGCATACTGATGGTGTGTGTGTGTGTTTAGTCGTTTAGTCGTGTCCGACTCTTCGTGACCCCATGGACCAGAGCTACTAAAAAAACTCAAGACAAACTCTACTACTGTAATGGTTTCATGCATATGCTAAATACCAAATTTCAAACCACAGATTTATATGCACCCTGCTTCCAGTTATGGGGTTGGAACAGAATTAAAGGAGATATAGAAAATGACAATTGTATCATTAACATTGTATCATACTGTTAATCATAAAATTTCAAAGGCTTTGAAGATTTATCACCAATATTAGGAATACAATTGCAATTTTTTGTATTTCATTCCCATGTTTTTTTTCAGATATACTAATATTAGGACTTCCTGTAACTTAAAACAAGGTAGAATATAGTAACCTTTTTTTTTAAAATGTGCATATATTATCGGTACATGCTAGGAGGACCCAGGAGCAATCACATTGTCTGTGATCATGGACACTCCAGAACAGGAGCTTGACACATATGCTTCAGGGTAAAATGGGGGTATGTTCTTTGTAATAATGTAATAGGTACTTCATACATAAAGAAATATATGTCAGGCTAAATCCAGATAGTCTCAGCTGGAGTCAACTCAGTGCTGAAATCCTGTTGCTTAGCATAGCAAGTCTGTAGTCTCATCTGGAGTCAACTCGGTGCTGAAATCCTGTTGCTTAGCAAGTTGCAACCAAAGTAGGGCCACTGAACCCATGGGGATCTAGTAAACCAACTCATCTGTAAGTTCCATTTATTCAATGGGCCTACTTTAATTATAACTTACTATATGATTTCAGCTATTGAATTAATTAGGTACACATAAGTGTTAACAAGTCCCATTTATTCAGTGTGTCT